ATAAATGTCTCGATATCCGTATCCTTTAGGCTTCTGTCTTTGATGTAGTTCTTCCATTCTGTGTCTGTGTAGTATAGAAGGGCATCATGTTTTCTCCGCCAATCGAAGACATAGGAGCTCGAAATGGAGGTTGAGGCTTTTTGAGGACTTTCCAACGGGTGGCTAGAGGCTGTAGCTTGACTTGGAGTAGAGGTTGTGTTTGTAGAGGTGGTTTTGGTGAGCGTCTTGATCTGGGGCGTTGTGTTCGTTGGAATATCTTGAGGGTGGTTATCTTCCGGGCATGTACCAGTATATCCAATTGGTCCATTACGGGCGGGCACCTCTCTCCCAGATTCTTGCAATGAAGATTTGTAGGTAGACGCAATCTTTGAGTGTGTGGTTTGTGATAGCACAGTGGGGGCCGTTAAAGTGGCCATGGTGCCCATTGAATCGAGACAATTGATGTTGTCGTTCGGAATATCTGGTGAATATTGGAGCTTTAAGGAGCTACGTATCTTCTCCCTCCTCACAATTCTATATTGGCTATTGTGGCGCCATGATAGTCGTGCGGCGGTAAAGATTTCATTGGCGCGTCTGTCGATGCCCCGCCAGCCCCTATAGTAGTCTGGTGCCGGCGCCTATACTGGGCTATCTCTCAATTTGGTTTGTAACTGAACGAGTCCTAGTCGTGGGGGCCGAGAAGATGTTGGTAAGTTTGAGGCCTAGTTGTTAGAGTGTGAGGTGGGGATCAGCAGAATATATTGGAGGTGTTGCTTTTGCGCTTGGGTCCTTTGGGCATTGCCGCTGTGTGATGAGGAAGGCTAAGGTGGGCCGTGACAAGTGTGCTTTCGAGGCTAAATTTAAAAGGCTCAACGGAATTATTGATTTATTTTGAAAGGAGAACATATTCATCTGTAGGTACCTTTTAACAGTCGTTACTTTCGAAGTAATACTTAGGTGGGATGCACTTTTACTTCAGTTTATGAAAATTTAGATTCAGAACGATGATAGATCCTGGACCCCTCAGACATGGCAATATGTTATGGTGCGGGCACAAGAGTTCAGTTGCCTGGCAGTGGACATCTTACTTTGCAGTTCAGTCAAGAGAGGTACTATACTCTATCTACTCCATATCTACGTGGGTTTTAAATTATAATTAGATAGGGAGATCATTCTTAAAATATCATAGAAACTTAGAGTAGACACGTCCTCTCACTTGAGATGAACTAGGCCGTATTTTGCCACTGTGCCGTACAACTACATTCTGTCCAACTAAGCGCCGTATACGCAATTGCCAAAATCACCCCAGACATACTTACTTTAATGAGAGTATCAAAACGTATGCACCCACATTCAGTGCCCATTATAGAATATCTGACCCAGCTGCTTTTTGGGCACAAAGTAGGTACAGTGGAATCCTAAAACTGAGTTATCGATCATCACGTTGATCAAGGTCAACAATCGGTCACTCGTTTTTTAGACTGCGTTGAACCATACCCTGCCTTCTTCTGATCCCCGCAATTGAATGGTGCAGAACCCTAGGCTTCTTTGTGCCAATTACCTAGATATTGATGTGTGCTTGCATTTTGCGGTGTATCCTTCTGACGAAGAGAATTTTCAACAAGTACTTAAGTGCCCACGGAGGCCCTCAAATATCGTACTATATACTCAACAACCTGCAACATCTCACTCAAACGCAATCCATCCCTTCTGTGCTTCAACCCAAAACACATTTTTCAAACTTTACCCCCAATTTTTATCTTTTATCCACGAAATGCCTGCCGCACAATCACTCAATTTCAGCATAATCCTCAAAGAAACCGACGCAGCCAATATAGACGAGGCCGAGAGTCAAGGAGCCTATCATACTCAGAATCTAGAAGGCGAAATACAGCGGCGAACGGTGATAGATCAGACTTCCAAAGGAGAGCTTTCTATCCTGGCTGAGCTCACCCACGTTATCCACGGATCTCTCACACCGGGCGGGCCCAAAGCGTCCCTTATTGTCTTCGACTTCCGCTTCACCGGCTCCCAATTGCAAGGACGCCGTTTTCGGTCTGTCGCCATAGAAATCAGTTTTGCACATGGGTCCAAGTCGCCCTTAGGCTCGACTCAAACAGACCCCGAAGTAGTTGCGATTTCTCCAGATGGCGATTTCCAATGGGATCACTCGTCAATCGAAGGAAAGACACAAAAAGGACTCACTGTGAATCTTTTGGGCTCCGGCTCTAATCCATCTCAGTCGGGGATCAGTACAAGCTGGGCCAAAACAACTCCAAAAACAAAAGAAGGGGAGGCCACATTATTTGGAGCAACACGTATATTCGGCCGCTCAAAGGGACTCAAGAACAGTGGAAAATGGTTGTTACGGGAGAACCGTCTACGAGAATCCGGTGTTCCATGCAAAATCAGTACAGCGATCCTTGTGAGGCCGCAGCCGAACGTGGTTTCGGAACAAGGAAGCTTCAGAGCAATTGTTAAGGTCTTTGCAGAGGTGGATAAGGCCTACAGTGTTGAAAATGTATTCAAGCGAATGACAGGAAGTAGTGTCATTGACCCCATCTTCTTTCAACAGGACCTGAAGCAGGTTGGGCCAGCTGTGGCTGGATTGCAGGCAGATAATCTAGCCAAAGCTCGGGAGGATGGCATTCTCGAGAGGTTGGGGTGCGTGCCAGCAATTACGGCATAAAGAAAGAGTTCAAATTGAGTGGGGTGGAGATTTGTTTCTATCACCCCTTTCCTCCAACACTATCATATTGTTTTTTCCCTATTTGTCATTTTTCACTAGGTTTTACATACTCAGTAGGCATGGAGCGATTTTATGTTTCTATCTCCTTTGTTATTCATGGCCATGGTACTATATGTCATTCCATATGCTTGCTTTATCTTAATCCGATATTCTCTAGTTTCTTTATTTTACATGATTAAGAGGAACCGATGTGTCTTATATTTTTTCCACAATTGCCCGTGATATCCATGTCTTCCTTTACTTACTTCTGTTCAATATAGTTTTCCAATAGGATTTGTAGATAATTGTAATGGCTGTTTCCATACACCATGTAGCTATATATCGATATACCCCTACTTTAAATAAGTACCATCTCCTTTGCTTCAGTCCAGCAACATCCAGGCTCATGACATTGATCCTCTACGAGGGTCTTTGTAGTCTCATGCCCCCAATTTGGCATTAATCTAATATACTCTTTTGCTAGTCTCGTGCCCCTTACTTGTCAGAGCTAGCCAAATCGGGCAGTTCATTTCTCCATAAGAAGTTAGAGCATCAGACACTGAATGAAATGATCTGAACGGTGCATCAATACATGATATATCTGATGTGGCGCAATGGATCCAGAGTGGTTGGAATGTTTGGCTTCATCTCGATCTACAAAATCCCTGTTTGTGAAAGCTCGTACATTGAAGGTAACTCTGGCGGCTTTTTGGGCGCACCCTCTATTATTACTGTTTTATTCTACTCTATAACAGTACGTAGGCCCTTTTCTGGATAGCCTTGATATCATATCTACATATCCTTATGAACTCTTTTTGTTATCAATAAAGAAGTGCATAAACTTTATATTGTCGATACCATCCAAGTTCGACGAAAATGAAAATACGGATGAACCGGTTATGATCAAATATACCGGTCGAATCAAGAAACGCAGAATACTCCCGTTACAAGAATGTGCTCGAGCCCCAGGTTCGTATACCTATGACGAATTAATGCTTATAACGAGAGAAGATTTGCAGTAAAATGTGATTTTGGGGTCAACCGATGTATGCTTATATACAATGGGTTTATGCTTATGTCGGGTATGCTGATAACAGGGGTCATCTTTACATGCTTATTGAGCGACTCATCTGAAGCTAGTAATGAGTAGAAACCTCAACTGTCTGCTTATATTGGGTATGTTTACTTCATCAGTCGTTGGACTAAACATCGCTGCCGCATTCCGCGTTCACCATATGTGCGAGCTCCTGTGCCCAAAGAAAGCTTGTATTATATATGGGTCATCTTTTTCAAGAACGAGTGGACTGCTAGAAGTAAAAGTACCGTAAAATCTCGCGAAAAAGATCAGGTCTTATAACAAGATAACCGCAGTTTGAGTTGGGCTACTTGGATCTTATCCACGAAGGGGGTCTTTTTGGCGAGTCCTTTTTAAAAGTAAAGCTAGTATATATTTTAGCCTGGAGTTCTTTTCTTTTCTTTTTTATCATAATATAGCCCGGGGAATCAGATGTAAAAAAACAATATGATTCATAATTCCTTACTTTTTTACCGGTTAGGGTCTTTTTCACGGAACCACTCTTTTCCACGAGTCTTTTGCAGGTCTTAAATGACTGCCAAAACTAGGATCTTATTCGCATTATGGTCTGAACATTGAGTAAGGTCTTTTTCGCGAGATTTTACGGTATTGTATATACATTCATCGTACGGGTAATGGTGTCATACCGTAAACATCGCCAAATAAGCACGTACAATTTTACAAGCATATCCTGGGCTATAAGCAAATATATTTAGTTACTAACTTTACATGGGAATACAATTGATCTATTAGCAGCTAAACTCAACACATCGTGTTCTTAATGTTCACAAAGCTACAATAGTTGAAACATTTTGAAAATATAGTATTAGTCTACCTATCGATGGGGGATTCAATTGGGCATGGAAATTCTATAGTTTTTTCTTTCATGTATTTAATTATATACTCGAGAGAATACACTTTTAAATTTTTACAAGCATACATAGTTCTTTCTATAAGCTTACCTCTATTATAAGCATACAATTGGGCATCGGGGCTCTGCAGTTATGACTGCACGCATACATGCTTATTTGGCGATGTTTAGGGTATAAACCATCGATCAACAGAATGAGGTGAAGTTGCGGAAACAATACAGCCTTGGGATCAGCACGAGAACACAGGATAGTGAAGCCATCCTCGGTAACAACGCACGGAAAGCTTATTGTATACCTAAGCCATCATGAACAAAAATTGTAAAAATACAAAAATGTAATTATCTTTCGTCAAGGACAGGATTCGAACCTGCGCGTCCGAAGACATCCGCTGAACAGATCTTACTACAACATATGTTGTAGTCAGAATAGCAGGCGAACCCGTTAACCACTCCGGCACCTTGACTGTGGTGATATGAATTCGGATGATCCACAATGGCTATATTGACCTCGTTTTGGCACACTAGCCTTCACTCTCTAATTCTCCAGAAGATCTCGGTTATTCCTTTTTGGTCTTTAATTAACCATGAAGAAGATCTAGATGTTGTCCAAAGCAACAACATAGAAAGAATATACATATACTAAATCGCACACGTTCAGAACTTTATTTATGGATAAATTTTATATTCCAATTCGAAGAACGCCGTTATATATAACTTTATACACCAGGTAACTAGATAAAACAAGAAAGAAAAGTATAGAAAAACATGAGTGTATGAAATGTAGAAGAGAGACATTGAGAGTATTAATGATTTCCTCCTTTGCCAGCAATTGATTTTCAGTAACACGATATACGAAGCATTTCGGATTGACGATATTGATCTCTGCGTTGCAGGAAGAGAATTCCATCATCGGTCATGTAACTCTCGATTTAAAGATGTAGCAAGATTGCCGCAATTGGCAAGAGTGCACTCCAAATCAACATTTCCCTAGCCGAGAGACTGACTGCAGCAGAGTCCCCACCACCTGGGGAGGTAGTGTTTGCTGCCGGAATTGTCGTAGATGCATTTGCACTCGGCGTTACAGCTGCAGAAGTTGTCGTCACCGTCGTTTGTGGGCGAGTGGACGAGCTCGTAGTAGTCGTGACTGGGAGAGTCGTAACAGTCGACGTCGTGAACGTTGATCTAGACACTATTGTTGTAGTGGTTGAAACACCACCACCGATTTCCGTTCTCGTGACTGACAATGAAAAGATATCAGACGCAGCTACTGAAGCCGTCGAAGATGTCGTTGTTGGAGGGACCACGATTGTAGTTGTTGTGGATGTTGGTGTTAAATCCGTCCTTGTGGGGATACCTAATGAGAGAGACTCGGATGGTATCACTACTGCACCTCCACTCTCGAGGGTAAAGTGGACCGCCCACTCTGGGCCACCAGTCTCAAATCCATTCACTCGCTCAAACTCGGCAACGTTGAATTGTGCGCGAGAAGCAGCATTAGGAACTCCCTGGAGCACAAATGCTGCACCGCCCGTGCGAGGTTGCTGGTTGTAAAGCAGCCAAACGTAACGCTTTGCACGTCCATTTGCCTGTGCTACAGTTGCAGGAATGTATGGGAGAGCTGGAGGAGTTGTTGATTGTAGCTCTGTCGCTTCCACAATTCTGAAATCAGATTGAATTGCATGGAGAAATTGTGGTGATTCGCCAGGAGATGAATCAACGTCGATGAGGAGAATTGTGAATCTTGACGACGTTGAGATGCCGCATGAATCACATAGGGCGAATTTTGTAGGTGTAAGCCCTGGTGCAAGACTTTCTCCGTCATTTAATTGATTAGTGCCGTAGAAAACATCGAGTTCGAGGTTTCCTGAATTTCGGGCAATTTGGCCAGTTAGAAAAGATGGAATTTGCGCCTGGGTAAGTGATGTGAATGTTGATATCAGCAGTGCCACAGCCGCTAAGCGGCTTCCAGCACTGCTGTTCTTGGAAAAGTGAAATAGCATGATTATGATGTTGAGCTAAGCACTTTTCAAGCTGATTTGCGAGGAGGGGGGGGGGTAATCTGGTGATCACTAGTTGCAGTGTAAAGATATATTGGTAAAAACAAAATATATGGAGAGCTTATAAAAATGCAATATTCGCCACGTTCTGGGGGATTTGCACTCCGTCTTGTATAGAAAGTTCTTCGAGCAAAATGAAGTTCTAGTCTGTGACAATTGGATTCGAGGGGGGAAAGCTGGGGGTTTTCTTCTCTCGCGTATGATTCCCACTTGGAATCCAAGGTATCCAAGCGGGCGTCAAACGGCTATTTTGCGCTTTTCACACATTTGAAACGACCACTCTGCACAAAATATCCTCTTCCCCTTGCCATAGCCATCCGTTCCAGATCTAACGACCTAACCCTGGATTTTATTATATAGAAGTTTTTCCCGTATCAATTTGCTACTCTTCAGACTCTCACAAGGGGTTCTTGGCGTGTTGCAGATCTAACGTGCGACAAGCAAGCGCCCTGGTACAGCCAAAGTTGACCCCATAGTGGGGATGATCGCCTTGTGGAAACGTTCACTGCCCCGCTACCAGATCCTTGTCGACCCTTCGTTCTCGGTTGAATCGTTAAGGGTGCTGCCAAAGGCATTCGTGGGCCAAGATAAAAATAATGAATGCACTCTACATTCTTCAGAAATACTTTCTCCGGGGCCCGGGTTTGACAATTATGGCCATGCTGGCTGTGCACAGATATTTTTAATGAAATTATACAGCTGCACAACTATATGCCGTATGTTTATACATGTAATGAACTAAGCCAACACGTTCAACATAACCACTTTTCTTCAGGTGGAACACAATAAAGGTACTCCAATTATAAGAAATATAGAGCTCGAGCTCAAAACTCTGGAAAAACAGCTTTATACATCATTGTATTCAATTTAACAAATACACCAACAAACTGGAATTCATCTCCTGTGCTACACCAACAATTGCATTATACAATTACCTCCATACCCATAGCTTCATCATCACCAATTTATATAACTTGGCGGCGCTAGGACGGTTTGACGGTGTTTGTATATTGGGCGTTTGGAAACATATGGAAATACTGAAGGGCTCATAACTGAAGTCTTGCCCAGTTATTACACCTTCCGGTACATGTATTGTTATAATCTAACGACGTTAAATCACCTCCCGCGCGGGTCAGAACTAGTGGGAGTGGGGCTTTAACGAATCTCTTGTTTTTGGCATCCATCCATCTCGGGGAATCTCGATGGGCAGACTTGTATAAAGATTGAAGAGCATACTGTTTATACAGACGTCGCCTGTCATAAGCATACTCGATATATTAAGCATTTGTTACGAGCATACAGACTCTCAGCCAAAAATCTTTTACCAAACCAATTACCACTCGATATAAGAATAAACTCGATATAAGCATACACCACGTGCATCATGCTTAAATCCAGCGTACTCTGAAATCGGGGTGCATGGGAGCAGGTTATCGAAGGTAAACAAATTGGTTAGAGGTTCTCTGTAAATATCTGTGGCATGTAATATGTCCCGCTGTGGAAATCTAGTTCCCTGTGGTTTGCTCATTGGAGGAATAACGGAGCACGTGCACGTGGAGCCGGTGTATTATTAAATAAACTTGAATTCTGTAGGAGAAACGTCAACAAGTCGAGGCATTGCGGGTATGCATACGATGGGCGGAAATACACAATTGAGACTGAGAGATCTCCAAAGAGGCATTCAGAATTGGCAAGATCGAACTGTATGGAGATAAATCTTATTACAATAAGAAGACCATTGCCACCCCCCGAGTTTCTATGCTTATAACGAAAGTATGGATACAACGGACGTGTCACAAGATCGCGTGGCATTTTGGTGGAAGATACCTATCTTTGCGGCTGCAAAATGTATGTTATATCTAGTCTGTATGGGGTAAAGCCTCTGTCGAATCTGCTGAAAACATTAGTACCTAGTTTATAATCGAATTGATATCTGAGTGCGCATGAATAGTGAGTACTGATTGCCAAGCTATCACGCATATACGAATATCTTAAAGCGATATCACATGCTCTACCACACTGACTGGCAAGCTCATTACAGCTGAAGATGCAAAGGAAAGCAGAAAAAAGAAACTCACCTGCAGCTGCCTATTGGAGCAGAATCTGTGTAATCCAAAAAGAGCTGAAAATGATGCAACGTTCAGAAACATTTCTTTTCCTAGCCGCCTGGCCGGCTGGCCGCGGTGCCCCGCTTTCACAGAACTCATTCACAAGTGAAATTCCGCTATCGAACTTTCGGCTTTACATTTAAACCTCTATTCTCCGAACGACTATTCATAATCTATCCTCACACTTTTGGTTCTTACCCTTATCTGGCTCTCTAGTATCAGTACCAAGATTCGAATTCTCCTAGGCCTGCAATTACGGTATACAAGTTCAACATGCCGGCAGCTACCACGCACCCTCTTTTTGGCGAATGGGTAGGCCAATATGGCGGCCACGGTCCAGAGAAAATCCGCATCGACACCCACCCAGAATTGCCCAGGGCAATTTGTGCCACGAAAATTAGCGGAGATCCAAACGTTCCCGCGAATCAAGTTACATGGTGGGCGAACGACGTTGATGAAAACGGCCGTGGGAAGAAGTTTCAAGGAAAGGGTCAGATAGCAGAGACAGGGTACAAGAATCGTATGTAGCTAATTTTTATAGAGCCCCTCTCTCTCCCACATGATCTTTTACAATACCCCAAGCCACTATTCCGATTCTATCCCCATTTCTGATAATATTAATTAAATTAATTCTTTTCATAATACATAGCGTCATTTGTGGACGCAACATTGGAATGGTTCTCCGACACCAGCATCCAAGTCACCTGGGCGGGCTTTACAATTCAATTTCAAAGAACTTCATATCCAAACGGTTTCTTAGACAATCTCCTCGGTGAGTGGGTCGGAAATTATGCCGGCCACGGCCAAGAACGCATCAAAATCCACATCCATCCATCGATCCCTCGGGCAATTTGTGCTACAAAGATCACAGGAGACGCAAACGTCCCTGCAGGTCAGATCACATGGTGGATGAACGACAGTGAGAGTGGTGATAATGGCACTCGAACATTCCGTGGAAAAGGGCAAATAGCATATACAGGCTTCACAAATCGTAAGAATTTCTTCAAAGATATCAATGAATATATGCTCCCCAACGGGACCAGAAGCTGATGATATTGTTCTTGATTTCCGTGATAAATAGCTTCCTTCGTGGACGCAAGCCTTCAGTGGTTTTCGAATAGTAGTATCGAGGTTACCTGGATTGGTTATGGCGCTGGGATACAGTTTACTAGAGTATCTTTCTAAATCTCCAAATAGTATGTATCCCCGCTTTGCCCCCATACTCAATTGTTCCAAACCTTTTCCATATTCTGACGTTTGGACTTAGAGCAAACCATCATGTATATTGTGTAAAGGAAT